GCGGTATTGGTTATGCAAATAGTGCAACCAATTGGCAAAAAAAATCGATGTTATTGGAAGTTAGCAATGGCATATATATATGTTTTATTTAATTAGCCATCATACGAAAAAAAACAAAGAAATATGTACAATATATTACTTGCACGCCAAATTTATATTTTTTTTAAAAAAGAAATTTATTTTTTTATATTTTTTTGTCTTATTAAATCGTTTCTATAATACATTACAAGTGTAATAAATTTAATAAGTATCATTTTTGCTATATAAATAATATATAAATAAATATGTTTACTGGCAATCAAGTAAAAAAATTAATGCCAATATATTACAAATTTATTACCAAGATTTATTTTTTTGACAAATATTATAAGTAGTAACATGCAAATAGTAAAATACATACAATAATATTCATACGGTTTATTTGCTCTTAAATATTAAACATGTCAATTTTAATGAATTCTTATCGAAACGAATTTATTTATGTTCTACGTATAAGAAGATTATTATTTTAAATGTAATGCAATGCTTTAAATGTCAATAATCAAATTTAGTTATCGAGCATTATTAAATCCCGTGGTTAAAGACATGTTATATTACATTCATTACATTGAAAACATGTACAGTACGTGCGTACGATGTATAGTTGAATGAAGTCAAGTATACAAATCTGTATATAATTTGCATTGTTTAAACGTCATGTGATTTGATTAAAATGAATAAGTTATAGTAAATATTTGGCGGTTCAATAAGACGCAGGTAGACGGAACAACCAAATCTTTTCCACATGGACCAAATATTGACTTTTCTTTAGACGGTATTAATTTTTGGCCTCTTATATAAATCGGTTAAAAAGCTGGAAATTATTTCTCAGCAATCAATTTGATCGAAGATCGGTTAATTGTCCAACTGCCTAAAAGAGATCTAAGTTTCAGGTATCAATTGATGTTATTCATTCCTCCGTAAGGGACAGTAGAATGCATATTCATAGACATTAATAATGTTAGTTGACCCTTGACAGCATTGAGAAAATTATTTAGAAAGAATAAATGGGTAATAAAATAAAAATAACCATTATCTATCTGTGACTACGCTGTGGTTGCGTCGTGGACAGCAATATGATGAGATGAAATTCAAGGTAGGACTATATTGTTTATCGCTTTGCGATTGTATATCGGATGTAAAATCGTTCCGTGATCTGGCATCAAAGTGAATATTGTACTACGTAATGTATGTGAAGAGCTCGGAATAAGGATACACCGAATGTATATAATCTGTATTTATTTCCCGAATATTAATCGTTATAAATTAGTTATTGATCATCACTGACAGTTCAAGCAAATAATATGAAACGGTGTAATCATTGTCCGTTAAAGATTAACATCTGGCCACCGTTCTTGAAAGATAACGAAATTTGATATGTCGTAAATGGAAACTCGGGACCCTAAAAAAAAAAAAAAACTTTTAGCCATCTTTAAAAAAGAAATGGGCTAAACCAAAAAAGTGTTTTTTACCACGAGATTCACCGAACTCATTACGCATTCACTTCTATATCGGCATTCCTGTGTCAGTTTGATTACCGTCAACCCTAATTTTGGTACTCGTAAAACGTACACTAAATATAAATGGTTGTAAAATTACACTGCATGAGTATTGCAGAAAGCAGAAAAAGACAATAACTTCATTATATGTTATTTTCTTCGATATTTTACGCAATATATCTTAATACAGTAATATAACTTAATATATCTGTGTTTAAAATAATTTACTGTAAGATGTTACACAAACGTAGAAAATCAACGGCTCAACAGGACCCTCGATTTCCCCCGTTTGTGTGCCCCCTCCCCCAAAAAAAACGTCAAATTTGATGATTTTCACTATTTGACCCTTTCAATCCCCAGTTTTTTTATACTCTTTTTCTTTTATGTCCTAACACATTTTTCTTATAAGCAATCAGTGCTACTTATCTCCTATAAAAGTGGCAAGTTATCGTTTTTGTTCTTTTTAACTAACACTAACACAACGAGTGTGTACCGTTTATAACTTATACGTTCGGTGCCTTTATTTTTTTTTTTTTCATCGAAAAATCAATTAAAGCTCCGCGGACATTTATTTTTATTTAAGCACGACCCAAGAAAATCTTTTATAATTCTAAACTTTATAACCACCTTTTTTTAAAAAACTTTATTGACTACGGAAATCTTCAATTTTTTTTTTCTTCAAAAATATCCTCACCATCACTAAAGGATACAAGTCATTATTAATAGTCACAACTCACAACGCAACTTGATTTATTTAAAATTATAAATTATCAATGCAAGCACCTTCTTTTATAGAAGATTTTCCTCACTCTCCACCTTCGGTTTCTAATAGCAATTTCAATCGGTTCGGTTTGTTAATGCAACAACAAACAGATAAAACCTTTGCCGCAACTACTTCTAACAATACTCCTTCATTAAACTCATCAAACTCATCAAACTCACAAAATTCATCAAGCACGACGACACAACGGCCTGGTGTTGCGGCAAGTTTCTTGTATAAACTGACTGAAATAGCTGCCTATGCTTACGCTTCCGCTAGCGATACTTATCAGACTGTGACGGCAGGTGGTGGAAAAGAAGAAATACCTGTAAAAAAGAATAGTGGAAGGGAGTATCTTGACGATGATGTAATGCAAATCAATGCCGATGATTCTGATGATCCTGATATTAACGATGATGAATTAAGTGATAATGATGTCGCACAATGTAGTAATAGCGTCGAGTCAAACAACCTTAAGATGCGTAACGATCTCGATAAAAAGTCTCAATGTTCATGGAATTCAAATGATGATGAAGAACCTCCTCCACCGTATGATAGTTCATGGACGATGGTTGGTTTTCATTTTATTCTGGGATATATGCGATTTCATTATGCCATTAAACTAATTTTATTGTTATTATTATTCTCTTTTTTTTTCAGCCAACAGAGTCGACACCTGGTAATTCTGTGATTTCAAATTTGTCTGAATCCGCTGTACATAATGTGTCGGATGCCTCCACACCAATTTCCTCTCCAAAGCAAATACAATTTGCTACTCCCCAGGATGACTCGACTCCACAATCTTCTCCGGTTGATTCTTCATCTACTACTCCTACATCTACTAAGCGTAAACAGATTCGTGTACGTCGTCCTCGACGATTGCTACGTCGTAAATCTTCTTCAACCGACATGACAAATCAATCTAGATATGATGATCAAGACGCGATGTTATTAAAAGTTAATGAAAAGCTCGCTGAAATGATTTCACAGGGAAAAGATGCCTTAAACAGCACTGTTAATGTAACAGAAGTCGAAATTATGCTTGCCGAAGAAAAAGAAAGAGAAAATCGTATAATGAAAGAACTCGGTCTTCAATCTTCTACAACTCGTCGGCGAAGGTTGACGGGCTCCTCTTCAGATTGTGATTATTTTAGTGGTTCATTATCTGATTCCGGCAGTTTTTCCGCTCCTGAACCTTCCTATTGTGATTATGGTTATGGTTCAGGTAGTGGTTACGCTTCTTCTAATGGATATAACACCCCACATCGGTATACTTCTATGCATTATAATTCTCCAACTCAATATGGTTATGCTTCACCTGTTGGATATCATTTACAATCACATGATAATTACGGTATGTTAGGTTCAAAATTCTCTGAGCCTATTCAAGGTGCTCCCATGCAAAATGGTTTTCATGTTGTGCCACAAACTGGTGGATGTGATCATATGATGCCAAGAGGTTGTTTCAATGGTCCATTATCTTCTGCTGGATACGGAAATGGAAATTATGGCCCAAATGCTGGTTCATGTGGGCATAATGTCGGTGGTTTTGTTCCAAATCAGAACGGCTTCGGGGCAAATTCTGGTCCCTTTGGTCCAAATATGAGTGGATTCGTTCCAAATGTAAATGGATACGGTCCAAATGCAAACGGATACGGTCCAAATTCAAATGGTTACATGGGTTCAAATTTAGGTGTTTATGGGCCTAACGCAAATGGTTACACGGGTTCAAAAGGTAGTTCCTCTGCACCAAATGCTAATGGCTATGGGACTAACGTAGGATTTGGTTCAAATGAATTGTATAATAATCGGGAATTTATATATTAGTATAAATCAAGACATGGAACAAGCTGACGGGACATATAATCTTGGACGCTGTTATGAAAATGTGAATAGGAGTTGAAAAAGATATAAGAAAGGCATTTGAATATTATCAAAAATCAGCTAACATGGAACAAGCTGATGGGACTTATAATCTTGGACGTTATAATAGACATAGATTTATATATTTTTGGTTTTTATTTTATTTTTTATTTTTTTCTTTATTAAATTTTCGAGAAGAAAGGACGAGTTTTAATTTGGGGAGGAGGGTAAGAATTAGGAAATTGGACTTTTATCTTTCAAAAAAAAAAAACATTACGATCGGGTGACAATGGAATTTTCATTTCAAATAATATAATCACCAAGATCACTTACTTAGACTTTCATTTGTTATATTCTTTTCTAAATTTAGATACGGATTTTAATTTGTATATTGACAATGGTTCCTTTCCTTTCTACAATTCTTTTTGGTTTAACTCATCATAACCCGAAGAATAACTTTTTGTCAAATATATTTTTCTTCACTTTGTTATATTTATGTACAACACTTTAAAAACCCTTTAACACTCGCAATTTCAATTCTCGTATAAATTTTATACATCTCTTTCTTTTGTACATATTTTTTTTTTATTTGTAGTTCAATTTATAAAAAAAAATTCATTCTTTTGTTACACTCCTCCTAATTGTTTAAAAACCTTTCTTTGTAAATTTTTCCGATTATTATGTTTAAAAATTTCAATTAGTTGTTAAATTGTGAAATTAGATTTTCTTGATTTAAAATTTTAAGAGGCTTGTTTGTCTCAACGCGGATGTATTTTTTGTTTAATTCCATTTGATATGGAAAATAAATAAATTCTTTCTTTTTGGTTCTCTTAGAAGTATATTTATAAAATTTTTCGAATTTTTTGGTATATGTATTTAAATATCATAGTGGTGATAAAAAAATTAACGCAGTATATTTATTATTCTAAGACAACGAATACTATATTTGTCGAATAGGGTTAAATTTGTGAATTTTGATTTGTTCCCTTTGTTCCAAGGTTACAATTAGAAACGGAAAGTTACGGCACTTGATCGAATCATCCAATCGTTCATTGTAAATAAACATGTCCATTCATGAGTGCAGAAGATTGCATGCTAGATACTTGGCTTTTGTTATTTTTCGTCGTATATCGGTATATAGATTCTTTATGTTGTATACCTTATTGTAACGGTAAATAGAATAGATCCTCGTGCAAGTGATACAATCGGAAATAACCTTATTTGCAAACCCCCCAAAAATCAAAAAAAAAAAAAAAAATATAATAAATTTTTTTTTTTTTGCCCTTCGCAAGTGCGTACGTACGTACATTATTGGTTTGATTACAAGTTAGGCTTTCTCTTTATTTTATTTCTTCACAAATGCAATATACTGATTATTGTATTCATTTTATATTCGACGTTTTTACCTTTAGAATGGCACTCCTGACCTTTTGAATCGGTCCTCAAAAGCAATTCTCCGATTTGGCTTATACTATATATCAAGCATAATCGTAGTTTTCTTTTATAACCCTTCCTTGCCACAAGAATGGCAGTTTATACAAACTCTATTTTCGCAATGTGCCAGATATTAGTAGTTCGACATTTATGATACGTTGAATTCGAAGTTTTTTTATTCCATCGGATAATAACAATAGCATTCAACCTTTTCAAAAAAGAAAAAAAAAAAAAAAAAAAAAGAAGAAATTAAAACTTTCCTCGGTTAGATTCCTAAAGAAACGAAAAATATGGTGCTGACTCCCAAACTTACCAATAAAAAAATTATATCCAACACGGATCAGATCAAAACCTTTAGCGATGATTCTAACAAGGTTAACATGTCACCTTCAATAAAATTAGAGGAAATGAATGACACAATTTTATTTGACGAATGGTTGGCCAATGATCTTGAGAATTTCCTATCAAAGACCGATGACTTTTTATTCACCCCCAAGACCATAAATCACGACGTTTCACCTGTTGTATCCTCTTCCATGAATATCCCTTTGACATTCAATAATATTTCTAATTCTCATGAATCTGATTCCCCTCTCTTCACATCTGATTCTAAATCCTTTTCAAAAAGTCCATCTCTCGATCCGGCTAAAAAGCTTTTCCCTGATCTATCGGATGATAACTCTACTTCGAAATCAATAGATCACAATTTAGCGTCAAGTGTGCCAGCAGTTGCTATCACTGCAGATGATCAACTTTCGCTGCCTATTTGCCAACCAGATTATACATCTGCTTTGAACATCCCTTGGGAGTCTGATTCGATCAATACTTCAGATTTTCTTTCAAATAAATCCTCTTCATTTACTTCCACTTTGACAGATAATACAACCGATCTCTCATCTAATGGCATCGTGAAAGCGAAAACATCTCCTACAGATTCTATTACGACCACAACAACTTCACCTACAGAAAGTGTCCCTACTTCACCGGTAACCAAAACTACAACTAATATTAGTCGTAAGCGCTCCGTTAACGAAATTGAAAAGGATCCAAAAACAATCGCCGAAGAATTAGCTATTAAACGTGCAAAAAATACTGATGCAGCTAGAAGAAGTCGTCTTCGTAAAGTTTTAAAAATGGAATCATTAGAAAAGCAAGTAAATGAACTCAAAATTGAAAATAAAAAATTTCAAACTCGTGTTGCTGTTTTAGAAAGTGAAAAGAAGGGATTAAAAGAAAAGAATAATGACAAAGATAATAGAATCAAATTATTGGAAAAACAATTAGCTGAATCACATGAGAGGTTAATTAATAGATCTTAGTAATTTTTTTTTTTTTTTAATAGTTAAACATGTCTATATAGAAGTTTCAAATATTTTAATTAGTGATCAAATAAGTTGACACACCAAAATTTTATATGTAATTTATTAAAAAAATCGTTTAAATTTGATCTAATTAAAGCCTTTATTTTTTTTTTATAAGTATTTTATAAAAATTTTATTTTAAGGCCAATATATATTTTTTATATACAGTATAACCTCGATATAACGAACCTCAATATACCGAATTTGGTATTATAGCGAAGATTTTTTTTAGCTAA